GGGGGGGGGGGAAGGAGGACAGTTTGAGGCAGAGAATTACAAATCTAATTATTTTGTCTTCCATTTTTACCACCTGATCAAACAACAAAGGTAAAAAAGAGTTAGGAAAATTTCACTTTTCTGAACTGTGAAATGAAATAACTGCTCAAACTCCATTGTAACCTGTTCTGTATGGGTTTTTTATCAAGTGATGCTTCAGTTGGCACTTTAACCTTTTTCTAACACTCTTTCAGCCTGCCAAACTACCACAGAATAGCTGTCCGCTACTTGTATTTGTGAATCCAAAAAGTGGAGGTCTGAAAGGCCGTGATCTTCTACACAGTTTCAGGAAGCTTCTGAATCCTCATCAGATCTTTGAACTTACCAATGGAGGTCCGCTGCCTGGGTAAATCACATTTTTTGCGCTTGTTTTGCTTTTTTGTTTAGCTCAAGGCTATTCAGCTAAAAGCCCACAGGCTGCATCTGGCCCATAAGCAGGGGCTACCAAGATCTCAGCAGAATTGCACTGCATGGCAACTCCTTTAATCTTGCAGTTTCCCACATGGGCTCACACCTCACTGCTGATTGATGGAGGGGCCCCACCACTCACTGCTTACTCCTGATTGGCGGGGAGGTGAAAACCGCGGTTTTAAATATGGCATGGTTTTTGCTCCTGCCACTAATTGGCCGAGGGGTTCCAGGGGCCCTGCTGCTTATTGCTGACCAGTCAGGAGACAAAGATCACGCCGTATTTGAAACCATAGTTTTCACTTTCCTACTGATTAGGAGCAAGCAGTGAGTGGTGGGGCCCCTCTGCCAATCAGCAGCAGGGGAAACTGCCAAATTAAAGGAGCCTCTGTGCAGCACATTTCTGCTGTGATTTCGGTAGGTCCCTACCCATAGGGAGTTGATGTGCGACTTGTGGGCTTCTGTTGCTGTTTTTGCCTTCCTCTGTAGTGAGTGGCTTGTGGGCTTCATGGTTCCTGTTGCTGTGGGAGCCAGGGGGCAGGACAGCACAGTGAGTGGGGATCTGTTCATCCAGCTTTTGAGCATGTGTCAGCTCCACATCACACTATCTGTGCAGTTCATGTGATGTACAGCCCAAAACAATAAAACCAAAATATAATTTATTGTTGCTTGCTGGATCTCCAGCTCCCATGCATGCAATAGCTAAACTTTTTTCCTGCAACTTGCTTTTGTGTTGCATGACTGAAAATTTATGATTCTATGAAGTGTAGGGGTGGAAGGGACCTTGAGAGCGCATATAATCCAACCCCCTACCTGAGGCAGGATCATCCCTATCCAAACCATTTCTGGCAGATCCATTGTCTAACCTTTTAACAGTACGGTAAACTACAGTAAACACCGACAGAACCACAATACACAACATTATAATCTGTCATAGGTAAAGCAGAAGCACCATAGCAGTGAACACCCTGCTGCTGCAAAGGATGTGCTTGACAGATCTTAAGAAGAGGGTGACGCCCCTCACTACCAGCGTTCCCTCTAAGCTGCGCTGTGTGTGTGGTTGCACAGGCGCGCTTGGGAGCATGGCATGAGTGCACCTGTGTGGCTGTGCACACCATGCAGCTTAGAGGGAACGCTGCTCACTACAGAGGAAGGCAAAACCCCCCACTGCCCATACCAAGATGACTATGGGGTAAAATCCCTTCTTGGCCCCAAATATGGCAGTTGGTCTGACCCCTAGCTGAGGGGCAAGACCCTCTAGCCAGAAACCAGCAGAATTAAGTCCCAGCAGGATTATTGGCACCCCTCAGTCAAAATTCTTTCAGCCAGCACCCAGTGCTTCTGGGAAGTCTTAAAAAAAAACCCTGACTACATGTAGAAGCAGGAGGGGGGAAAGTTCCCTCCTTGCTACGTGGCAACCAGAAGCATGAGAAATACCTATAACAAAATTTAGGCATAGATGTTCTTAAATAATCCCTGACCAATGCCTGTCTGCCCTCTTTTTGAACACCTCCAGTGATGGTGAGTCCACAAGTTCCCTAGGCAGTCTGGTTTACTGCCTCACTGGTTTAACAGTGAAGAAATTTGCTGTGATATCTAATCTAAACCAACTCCGAGCCATTGTTTTGTGTCCTACTTTCTGCAGCAAGAGAGAAAAGGTGTTTTCTCTTGTCTTTATGGCTCCCCCCCAGTTATTTTAAGCACCTTTTTCTGTAAGATGAACATACCCATTTCCTTTCAATTCTCCTCATAAGACTTGCCTTCACAGCCTTTATCATTTTTGTTGTGGGCATCAAGACCCTTTCTGTCTTCTCCAGAGTATTTTTGCGTGGTTGTCCCTTTTTCACTGGGGGCATCCTGGAAGCTCCTGGTGTGGCCATATTGTTTTCTTACTATTGGTAAAGTCTTTGAAAAGATTATTAAGGCTCACATATGTGAGAGCCAAGCAGGAAAAATTATGCTGAGGGGAAACCAGCATGGGTCCGTAGCAGGTAGATATGCCAGACTAATCTAGTCTCTTTTTATGACCAGGTTACAAGGCACCTGGACACGGGAGTAGGGGTAGATGTCATTTACTTAGACTTCAAGAAGGCCTTTGGTACGGTATCCTACCCCATACTGGTGAACAAATTAAGAGGCTGTGACTTGGATGATTACACAGTCCGGTGGGTGGCAAATTGGCTAGAGAGTCATACCCAGAGAGTGGTGGTGGATGGGTCAGTATTGACCTGGAAGGACATGGGCACTGGGGTCCTGCAGGGCTTGGTCCTTGGACCAATACTCTTCAATGTCTTCGTCAGTGACTTGGATGAGGGAGTGAAGTGTACTCTGTCCAAGTTTGCAGATGATACAAAACTGTGGGGAGAAGTGGACACACTGGAGGGCAGAGAACAACTGCAGGCAGACCTCGACAGGTTGGACAAATGGGCAGAAAACAATAGAATGCAATTTAATGAGGAGAAATGCAAAGTGCTGCACCTAGGGAGGAAAAACATCCAACATACCTACTGCCTAGGAAATGACCTGCTCAGCAGCATGGAAGTGGAAAAGGATCTAGGAGTCCTAGTGGACTCCAAGATGACCATAGGTTGTCAGTGTGACAAAGTTATCAGCAAAACTAAAACCACTTTATCGTGCATCAGCAGATGCATGACAAACAGAACCAGGGAGGTGATACTTCCCCTCTATCGGGCGCTGGTCAGACCGCAGTTGGAGTACTGCATCCAGTTTTGGGTGCCACACTTCAAGAGGGATGT